GAAGAGTATCATCCAGACTTTTGTTCCAAGAACTTTGGACTGAATAGGTTTTCTATCTCTTTAGTCTTTATGTGTCTTGGTTGTTCAATGCATGCGACTGCATTGTAGTGCGTATTGTTGTCTGTGTCCATTGTTTCGAATGTGGCTGATTGTACTGTGTAGTACGTTGTTTGATTGGTGACATATTGTATGCAACTATTGTGGAGTGTGCATACTTGTGTATTGTTTTTGATCTGCCATTATTGAGAATATAATTTTGTTTTGTTTATCAACTCTCGGCTCTGACTTGTTCTTTGGGCCACAGCCGGCGTCCGCTGGCGCGCCAAAAAGGACCACTTCTAAATTGTCCACGCTTTCGTGGTGCGGTTCAGGGGGCCGATACTTCGGCCCTTGGAATTAGCCCGGCGATCGCCTCCCTAATTAACGGGACCCGTGACACTGGGTAACAGACGCGCTCATGTGCATTACCCTGTTGACCGTGCAAAAACAGCGTTCTTGGCCGGGTAAAGATTGCGTTTCACTCAACTGTGGATTTACGAAGATCACGCGCCCGGTCATGACTGATTTGTGCCAAGATTACTGCTTTCCGTCATTGCCTTCGCGTCCTCTATAAAGTAACGTGAGCGCCTCGAGAAAGTTTTTTCCTCTCTGAAAGAAGGAAAACAATAATGTCAACCAAGTATGCACTGAAATTTAGAACGTGGTTTCTTGGCTTTGCGTTGTTTCAATCACCTGGCCAGTACCTGCTCAGCCGTACGTTCTTTTTTTCTTCTGAAATAAATCTCAACGCTTCAAAAAAAGCTTCGTGTTCTTTCCATTAAAAAAAGAACATCTGATTTATTTCTTCCCTCCAAAAAATGTAAGATCTACTGCATGGTGGTGCGACAACGTACATGTTGGATGCGCTTGCGAAACAGAAATTGTGCGAAAATGGACTACTAGGTGTAGGAGCGCATGTGCAGAAGCTCCGCTCACGTAGCTTTGACTGTGCTGCCACATAAAGTTGTCGATTGTTTTATCTAGGGAACTTAGGCCGACGCCGCCAGGAACCCTCCACTTGCTCGCTGTAGCCGCATTAGATCGACTCAATGCGCACGCTTGTTTATTCAGCTCCTTGACGCATTTTACGAGGTTCTGTCACTTGGAAAAAAGTTTGCAGATCCCACGTACAGTGAGAATCAATTATATGCGAAGCACGAATGAGGAACGTTGATATGTCGCTTTAAAATCAGCACAACGTATAACGTTACGAGGCGGACGTAAATTATGCTATACATGACTTCCATATCGTAATTATCGAGTTTGGACGTGTCATTTACCTTCGTCGCCTATTCACGTCATGTGATACCGAATTTCGTATATGCGGAGCTAGCGAAACCGGCGTGAGCACGCTATGGGCGTAGCATGTAGTCACGTTTTACATACCACGCACGTCATGATTATGATGTTTCGACGCGTCATTTACCTTCGTCGCCTATTCACGTCATGTGATACCAAATTTGGTATATGTGAATGAAGTTAGCGAAACGGCCGCGAGCGCACCATGCACGTAGCATGTTTTCATGTTCTTACATGACACGCATGTCATCATGATCATGTTTGCACCCGTCATATACTTTTGCCATCCATTGACATCACGTAATACCAAATTTGGTATATGTGAAGCTAGCGAAACGGCCGCGAGCGCACCATGAGCGTGGCGTGTAGTCATGACTTACGTGACATGCATTATGTTCGTCATGCAGCCATGTTATATATTCATAGTCATAACTACGTTTGCCATGCAGTCATGTCATACCATACTAGGTTTGCATGTGAACGAAACCACTGCAAAAGCAGCATTACCATGAAATGTAAATCATGACATAAATCTCATGATTTTCATGTTATCACTAATCACTTATGCTCGTCATACCGTCATGTAATTCCACGCCAATTTTCGTATCGATATCATTATCGAAACGGCCAGAAACACTAAAAGTCGTGAGCGGCTAGACAGACAGACAGACAGACAGACAGACAGACAGACAGACAGACAGACAGACAGACAGACAGACAGACAGACAGACAGACAGACAGACAGACAGACAGATAGATAGACAGACAGACAGATAGATAGATAGATAGATAGATAGATAGATAGATAGATAGATAGATAGATAGATAGATAGATAGATAGATAGATAGATAGATAGATAGATAGATAGATAGATAGATAGACAGACAGACAGACAGACAGACAGACAGACAGATAGATAGATAGATAGATAGATAGATAGATAGATAGATAGATAGATAGATAGATAGATAGATAGATAGATAGATAGACAGACAGACAGACAGACAGACAGACAGACAGACAGATAGATAGATAGATAGATAGATAGATAGATAGATAGATAGATAGATAGAGATAGATAGATAGATAGATAGATAGATAGATAGATAGATAGATAGATAGATAGATAGATAGATAGATAGATAGATAGATAGATAGATAGATAGATAGATAGATAGATAGATAGACAGACAGACTCAGTCACCGAAGTTTGCGAAAAAATGCTTCGTATTTAAAAACCACCTGGACGAAAGTAGGATTTAGTTGGAAAAAAGTGGTTGATATATTTTTAATGCGCTTCGATAAATACAAGCGGAGGCACTTTAAAAAACGAGTACCAACAGTGCCTGCCAACTATCAGCTGAGCGGTTTACTCATCTACACTTCAACCAGGACCACTCGATCTGAAGATCGAGCGGCCGTGCTTCTACTATTCTTAACGCGGAGGCGTGATAAGCGCTATTATGTAAGCGCATAAGGTTGAATTTTTATCATTTGTTGTGGTCCGGATGAACTCAAACACGGTAGCCTTGAAAGAATGTGGCGGTTTACCTGATGAATTCACCGGAGGAATTAACGCCCTTTTATTATACCAACACCGACGCGAAAAATTCATGTCATGTTTCCTTAGGTAACACATGAATTTTTCGCGTGAAGCCCGAGTGAAATTAACGCGCGTGCCTGTATTCCATCCCCATTGAACGACGTAAAATTGTATTTCATTACCTCGGCGACTTACCTCAGTCTCCTAGAAAGAAGAAAAAAATCACACCATATCCATCGAGTGATCAGTGATGATGAGTGGGGCGAAGCGTCCGTCCGGAAGGACAGATGCACGGACGGTGGAAACACGAACGGACAGACGGACGCTTCGCCCCCTCATCATCATTCACTCCGTGGATATGCTGTGAAAACCACTAACGCCATCTAGTTATATTATTTTCAAGGACATTAGAGTCACAGGGGAAAAAAAATTCCAGTGACTTTAAAGATGATGATGATGGTAATGAGGCCATTCCCTTTGTAACGGGCGGGCACACTTTGGCACCCTAGCCGATAGTAAGAAAAATACAAAGAAAATAAGAAAAATTCTGTATTTTATAAAATACAGACTGGGCGGGTTGCCGAGTCAAGAACCCTCCCGAAGTCCCCGGAGAGTTATTTTCCTCCATTGTTCTAGGCGAGTTTTGCTGCGCCTTACTGCGGCGTAGTCCACCACATCACCTGTGTCCACAAAACCCAGTGCGGCAGCGAGATCTGTGTTCGAACTGGATGGGCTCAGTTGCGGGCACTCTGCAGTCACGATGTGTGCGATGGTCTCGTCAGCCCCACCACACGCGCTACACACCACACTCACGAGTTCCCCGTCGTAGGCTTGCTTACGGGCGAGAGTACGCAGGGCCCCTGCTCTCGTCTCAAACAACAGCACACTTCCAAGGCCATTGTCGTACAGTGGGACTGGAGCAATGGTGTCCTTGTGCTGGCGGGAGAGGAGGAGACTTGACTTGTTCACTTGTGCCTGCCTCCACTTCTCCTCCTCGGCCTCCTTAATACGCTGGCGAATTTCCTTAGTGCGCCCCCGTTGGTTTTCGGCCGCCAGTGGCGCCTGGAAAAACCCAAACTTTTTCTCAAGTTGGTACACTCGTCGTACCCACTTGGTGCGCATACATGTCGCCATGAGGTAGTCAAAAACTCGTCGAGACCACCTCTCGCGGGGCATGTAAATCAGGCGGCAGTGGAACGTCAGTTTGCTGGCCGCCTCACGCGCTTCGAAGCTCGACCAGCCGATGTCCCCTTGGACCGCCTCGTTCGCCACCATGCTATGACAGCCCAGAGCGATGCGTCCTACTTCCCGTTGTCGCCGCTCCAACCATTCCCGGGTGGCCGCTGACATAATCACGACTGCGTTCGCAAATGTCAGCCCAGGCACGTGGACGAGTTTCCAAAGGTCACGTACCATTAAATACCGGTTGCAGCCCCACAAACAGCGGCGCCGGAGGATGCTCTGAGCCCGCAGTCCAGCTTCACGCGTCTTCGCCTCATGTAGGCTACATGTCCGTTGACGCTGACAATTTTACACCCAGGTACCTGTATTCGGTGCAGCTGCTCACTTCGGCATCTCCCAGGGTCACGACACTCTCCTTGGTACACTCCCCCACAAGTCTGAGAAGGGCTGTCTTCTTAACGTTGAAGCAGAGCCCCAGGCCGGTGATTTCATCCTGGCAGATGTCCAGCAGTGCCTGCATTTCCCCGGTGCTTTCTGCCATGAGCACGATGTCGTCTGCGAACGTTAAGCCCGGTAGACGACGCCTCTCGTCGATACCGCTAGTCGTGTGGTGGAGCTGAAAACCAAGGCAGGAGCTAAGAAGCGTCCTCTCGAGGCTTGAGACGTAAAGAATATACAGTAATGGTGAAAGTGGGCAACCCTGACTCAGGCCTTTCACTACTACAACGGGGTCTGACTGAACATCCCTGAAGTGTGCCACTACAGTGTTACCTCTGTACATACGTCTCACGGTCGAGATGAGGATCTCTAGAAGGTCCAAGTGGTTCATGCAATCAAACAATGCTGCCTGCGGGACACTTTCGTATGCTTTCTGTACATCCAGAAAACAGCATAGCAGAGATCGCCCTTCAAGCTTCGCTATTTCGGCACACTGGGTCAGAGTGAAAATTTTATCCTCCAATCTACGACCCGAACGAAACCCATTTTGTAGTTCGTCAGCAAGTTCTTCGTCTCAGCCCAGGCACTTAGCCATTCCCTTAGGATACCGGCAAACATTCGGTACATCACGCTAGTGACCATGATAGGGCGATAGCTCTGCAGCAGGTCCGCCGCGCCGCCTTGCTTTAGGATCAATGTTATCCGACCCTGACGCCAGTCCTTCGGGATTTCAGCGCCAGAAAGGATGCTCGACAGCTGGTCTGCAAGCTTCCCCCTAGCCTGTGGGCGGAGGCACTTCACCAGGCGCGCTGGCACCTCGTCGGGCCCCGTTGCAGTTCGAGTGCTTATTCGCGCTAAGGCGCGGATGACTGTCACACTGCTCACCGCACAGCACGGTTCCGCTTCCTTTTGCCTTTCGCCGAGGGCAGGGTGCAGTGTCGCGGCCGCGGAAGCATCCCTGTCGTTGTCATTTCCCGTCGAGCCGAACAGTCCACTGATGTATCGTGTCAGGTGCTGCCGCACATGTGCCACTGGCTGGTTGGTGTCAGCATACCTCAATTGGGGCGAATTCTGTTGTCGCCTGTCCAGTGTTTGCACATATTGCCAGAACTTCTGGGCTGCGTTCTTGCCCTCTTCGCGCAGAGATTGAAATAGTTTCATGTTGTACTCGGCAGTTTTCGCCTGCACCAATGCCTGTATCTCGTGCTTCAGTTCAAGATATCTCTGCCAGGTGGCTGCGCATGCCTCTGTATCCGACGACTGCACCATCCTTCGATGCTCCCTGTTTGCCTCTCGACGCCTTTTCCAGGCTTCCTCAACATCGCTATCCCACAACGGACTCTTTAACGCTCGTGTCGACCGTCTGTCTGGGACCATATGTCGTTCCACCACCCGTCGCAGGGCCAACATGTACTCGTCATAACTTGTAGCCTCGTGCATTTCGGCACAGGCCTAGAAGTCCTCAACGACAGCCTCGATGGAATGGTGTGGTAGGTACCGCTTGATCTTTTTTCGTCTGGAAATTACTTTTCCTTTATGACAGGAGTGTCCGAAGTCGAGCCTGAGGCGGTTATGGTCGCTGCCGAGACTGTACTTTCTCTCTTCGTCCACACCGCACCTCTGTAGCATTGCATGCAAACGCAGAGAGACCAGGGCATAATCAATATTGGTGGCACTGCCGCGAGCACACCATGTGAACTGTCCCTCCCACTGTGGCTCGTGGTTCATGATGACGAGGTCTAGGCCTTCGGCCAACTGCAGGAGCAGCTTCCCGTTGGCATCCAGGTGCCCGTCCAGCTTACTCAGGTGCCCATTAAAGTCGCCAATAACGATGAGCTCGTTGTCTGCCTGCAGTCGTCGTGCGTCCTCGCGTACACATCCAATAAGCCTTACATTTCCTTCGTGTAGGCCTAGCACAGACAAGTATACAACACACACCGCAGTGTTCACACCAAGCACATTTTCTGTTACCCACATGTGGTATCTGCATTCCCCATCCAAACGTTGCCAATGGAGGTCGTGGGCGCCATAACACACCGACCCCTCCCCCTTTGCGACTCTGGCCAGATCTGTTCTGACCCGTCCAGTGCCAGTCTGGCTGAATTGGTGGCTCTTCCAGATCTCGTAAGTGGGTCTCTGCCACTGCATATAGCGAGAACTCTTCGTCTCTCAGGGCATTATACAGCTCTCCCCACTTTTGTTCCCGGCGGGCACCGTGCATGTTAAGAAAACCCAATCGGAAGCATTTACACTTCGCCTGGCGCCTATGGCACTTTGATAGACATGTCCGAATGTCCTCTGGACCACAGTGTCTCCCATACTCCCCACTGCGAAAGCTCTCCTGCTCACGTCCTGCTCGGCACGGTGGGCATGTCATTGGGGATGTTGCCTCATTAAGTGCTGGACCATGTCGGCTATCATACGAGCCAGGTCTAGTCCAATAGGTAGTGCTCCCATCGGTTGGGTTAGGTATGGAGGCTGTATGTTGCCCTGCCAGGGCGGGGACTGCTGGGGCTGGACAGCTTGTGGTATCACGTCGTTTGATCGCGTCTCCGGGAATAGTAGCCCCACAGGGGACACTTTGGCCCAATGCTCTGTTTTCTGGAGGTCCGTCGGCTCCTGTGGGTGTTTGGTGGTGCGGGGTTAAGGATGCCGGAGAAGCACGGGGTGCTGCGTCTGGGGCCAAGCTGGATGACCTTCGCTCCCCTGTCTGCAAACGTCCAAAGCAGTAGGTGTCAACCCGCCCGGACTCCCGTGGCCAGTGGTACCGGTGTCGTTTTCCTTTTTTCTCTTCGGGCCCCTTTTGTCACGTCTCCGAGGACGTTCTCAATTCGCTAAAAAATTGTTTGCAATTGTTGCCAATCGGGTCGCCACTTGGGAGGCTGTGTCTGCGACATAGAGAGCGCTGTCCCGGGCCAGCCATCCTTCTTCCAACTGCGTGCTGTTGTCCAGGAACGTTGCTCTCAGTATGGAACACATCTTTTTTAGCTGGGCATTCAATGTAATAGCTCGAGCCAGTGTAACCTTCCCTCGGGGAGTCACCTCTGGAACAGAGCAAATCACCAGCCTCTCCGCGTACAGGGCCACGCTGTCACGTATCACTTGGACGACGTCTTCCGGGCGGGTCCCCCGAATTGCGTCTGTTGCTCCCACCAGCAGCATCACCAGCCGGCGACAACGGCCAGCTTCCCCTTGGGGTTCTCCTATGTACTGGTGTAGCAACTTCTGTGCACGTTTCACAGTCGCATGTTGCGTCCAGCATGTCTGCAGATTCTGTTTGGGGCCAAGTTGTCGGAGTGCTCTTGCGACGCGTGGCCCGTTCCCATCTCCCACCAGCAAAATGTGCGAGTGGGTATTGCGGGAAGCCCGAGCTGACTTCGCATACCCTTTAGAGTGTCGACGCTCCTGCTTCATCACATCGTCGTTCGGCCTTGGGGGCGCCTCCGGGCCCGTTGCAGATAGATCCATTGTGTTGTCTAGGGCTGGGAGGTTGTCTTCTTGCCTCACACCAACTTGCCGGGTTTCCCCAGGCGAGTTTGGTGTAGTGCCTAGCTCTTGCAGTGATTCACCCGACGACCTGTCTACAACCTCCTTCATATTCGTGTGTATTCGAGGCCGTTCGGGTGGTGCCCTGCCTTGCTCCTGTCTGCATGGCTCGTTGTGATCGTCGTGTGCTGAGTCGTCAGAGTTGACAGGCGCGCTCTTTCCGTCCAGGGGCTGAGTCTCGGGCTGTCCCGATGAGCCTGATGTTGGGGTTCTCATCGCCCCGGTTTCGGGTGTTTATGTGGACAGAGTGGTATCTTGTTCCTGCTCAGACCGGTCAGGTACCTCCTGACCTCGGGCGGTTACTTGCTGCCCCAGACCTGCTCCTATGGCCTCAAGTGCATGTAGCCTGGTCTGTAAGGCTTCTACTGTCAAGCATGGCTTGCAAGTGAATGGGTTAGCAGCACTGGCCGTGGAGAAGTCAGGGAAGCCAGCCTCGTCGACGTATAACCATGTCACATCTGTCGCACTGTACGACTGGCGCGCCGGTGCGTTGCTGTTGTTTAGCTCGCTTCGTCATTTGGCCCTTCAGCTTTACCTGTTGCTTGTCACTAGCAGTAGCCTGTTGTCTTTCTGGCCTACCTCCTCGGCGTCATGGTATGCTGCACGTCAAAACGACGTGGGCAGCCGATAACACTCCACGAACCGCCTCTCGCACACTACGGGTGTAGAAACTGGCGCCATCTCTCATCCGCAGGCGGTACCACTCCACTACATGCCGATGTTGCTGTCGGTGTTCCAGACCGGCCCGTCAGGCCTCGTCCTCCTAGAAGCTCGTACAGCGCGACGGTCCGTTGTCACTGCATATAGATGGTAGCCCGATGGTCCCTGGGACTCGATGAGACACTCCCACGCATCCGGAGCGCAGCACTTGCTCACGTACGCCTTAACGGCACATCATAACTCACATCACAACGAGTCTGGTCGACACCACCCCAGCGCTTTCTGCCTTTACGCGACAATGCGCGTAAAAGGACATATACACGCAGCGCCATCTATTGAGCCAGTCATACACTAGAGGTAGACACGGAGGAGGGAACGTCCACGGCCTAAGGAGAAGCTTCGCCCCTGAAGGAAGCTGACTACACATACAAAAGCTTTTAATACTATGGTACCTTATGATTACACTTTAGACATACACAATCGCACACAAACGCTTGCGCATAATACGTGCGCACACTCACGTCCATACATGCACAAGCGCACGTAGGCGCTCCCGCACATACGCGTGCACGCGCAAATTCAGACATACACAAACGAACGCACACGCAGGCATACACATACGCAGGCATACGTGCGAGCACACACGCACACACAGGCGTGAATACAGACATACCAAACGTACGCACTACAACATACGCGTAGGCTCGCACAAGCACCGGTGCAAATACTGACATGCATGATTGAAAGCAAACACAGGCGCACACGTACGCATACATAAGCGAGCACACACACACACACACACACACACACACACACACACACACACACACACACACACACACACACACACACACACACACACACACACACACACACACATGCGTTCACAACTACAAGTAAGGAATCACACACGTTAGCTTTAAAAAGTGAATATTTTGAAAATTAACGCTCGCGCGAAAACCCAACAAGGCTTTGCCAAGGCACCAAGAAAACCGCATAGAAAAGCGAGTCACTCAGATAAAGCTAACTCTACATTTATATGTGTTCGTTATAGAACTTAACGGACAGTCTAGTTATGCAATGAACATTATAGTCTCCATACAACTTCACCAAGATATCCAGGTATGTGTAAGGAAATTGCTAACAATAACCTCGCAAAGAACGACGTGTTTGGAAGGGACGAAGTTTTTTCCCCCGATGTTTTAAATGCACTGCTTCCCGCGCACGGCATTTTTTTTTTTCGCCACGGGGAATATAAATAATCTTACTCGTTTATGTGACATGCTTCTGCACTGAAACACGCAGCAGCCAGGCATCACCACGAAGAACGAAGCCCAGAATTCAACTCTGAAGCACGTTCGGAGCAAGGAACCTGGAGGGTTCATGGCGTGCGCTGTGAAGGCAAAGCGCGATAAGTTCGTTTGCGCGCGCTTCAGGTGACGTCAGGGTCACCTGACTAGCTGGTAGCGCGCGTCCCAGCGATTGAGCGCTGCGGGTGCGCCGGCTCCGCGAGAGAGGGGGTGAAAAAAGAGGAAGTCGACGACACGGTGAGAGTGAGACGGCGTATCAGGGAGTGTCGCTACCAAAGAGGCTTAGTCGCTACCTTCCACAATATATAGGGGTTTTATGTGCGAATAATTATTTCCTCTCCTGGGTCCTGTAGAGTTTGCCCGTCCTATTTTGTTTAGTTGCGGTCCTTGCTCGTGTTAGCATCGTTCCCGTTGCGATGACACAGGCGAACGCACAAGATGGGAGGAGGGCAGGGCCATACCACGGCGGCTGGATGAAAGAGCGCGCTCTTTCATCCAGCGGCCGTGGTCATACTAAGGGGGCGGGGTTGTGACCAGGAAATTTTTATGCTTTTCAGGGGATAAATTATTTATTCTCCTTCACATAGACTACCCGGTGCCAAAGTTAGTCCTTCTACGGGTTATACTCACAACCCTAGAAAAAAGTGTGGCAGTTTGAGCTAGTTGGTCCTTCTTCCGCGCGCGGATCGGACACGAGCGCTCGTGTCCTTCTTGTCTCTTTGTCGTCGTTCTGTTCTCCCGGAAAAAAATTCCTGGGCACGGCCCGCGGTGATGGGGGGTTGCCCTTACTAATAAGCGAAGGGGTGCGCTGTCCTCCTTGTGCTTTTAGTCAGTAGGACCTGTGCCAGCATTATTTTAAGTCAAGGAGATTTTAAAAATTGCTGGAGTGGAAATTATTGCCCACGAGCGAAGCCGTACCACTTT